TCCATAAAAGGCTAAATGGAGAGGTTGAGAGCCTACTTTTAGTAGACACGTAAAAAGTCTTGCATGTAGAAGGCCTGAGTCCACTTGCACTCTTTCGGGTACTGCAGCAGTACCACTAAATCCAGGTTTTGGGGTACTGGTATAGATAAAAGTATCAAAACGACCGAATGAGAAAACTCTACTGGTGTTGCTCTAATTTTCTTGCCTAATTTTAGTTGGTTTACTAATAGCTGCATCCCATAAAAGGTTTGGAAAAGAAAGTGGAGAATAAATATGATTGCCGCAACTGCAAAGGCTGTCCAACAGAGAACGGGTGGACGTTGGATGCCCTTAAGCTCTCTCTGGATCGTCCAGACTACTTTTGTTAGGATAGTTTTTAAGTTTAGCCGTTGTGATTCTCCATGAACCTACTTCTTAAAAACTCGACACCCCATGTTTGTGCTCCATTGGTTCCCAGGCCTGCAAATTCTTAATAAAATATCCCATCACACATGTCACAGCACAGGTATGCCGAGGGACTTGGAAAACGGAAGTGCCATCCTTCACCTCTTCCTTCTCTCACTTTGTGTTTGACACACGAAAGAATTCTTTATAGGACTTTAATATTCATCAATGTATTAAAATTTTAAACCGCAGGACTTTAATACTATATCTCCAAAATCAACTTACAAATGTCGTAAGCGAAGGCAGCTGAATAATCAAGACTTTCGCAAATCGTCGGGCAACAGCAAATTTGATTATAACGAATCCCGTTTGGTCCCAAGTTGGCTAATTGATTACTCATTTTGTTCTGAAAAGGGGTGAAGTAAAGTAAGCAGCACAAAATAGTAAACTTAGGATTTATAGCAGATAAGACCATGTCTTCTTCTTGTGGAAAAATGACATGTATGAACGTGAAATTTTAGGATTCTTGTTATTTCCCGCGTACGTAAAGACCGTTTTAGTTTCAAGTAAAACTCGTTTGCTTTGAGCCTTCTTTCGGTAAAGTTCAAAGTTTGAAAAAAAAATTATTAGTTAGGGGTCTTCCACGCTTGGTGAAATGGATTGCCGTCACTTAATCGAGGGTTCTGAAATGATTACATGAATTTCTTGCCCTCAAATCCAATTAATGCTCCGTGCGTTGAATCGGTTTATTCAAATCCATGGACAAAATATTGCCCAGCAAAGCAATTGTCTTCTAAATTGATGGATTTCGAACATCGATTTCACTACAATTTAGTCATGCTTGAACTATCGAATTGCCTATACAGAGAAAACTAGATATTAACAAAGAAATTTGCAAATTCGCTTAATAAAACTGCGTTTCACAATTTCTTAAAACTAGGGTATGCATGCTGTGAGCATTCTTTTCTCATAATACCTAACATCAGACACTTCTCTATAAAGTTGTTTTGATCGGTTGTTTTTCACATGAGGAGAAAGACAAGGTCAGTTAGGAAATAATGGGAATGTCAGTGTTCTGGTTTTTGACCGCATCAACTTGTATACTGTGGATGCATTTCTGACTGAATATAGTCTATATCACAACAATTAAGGGGACAATGAAAGGACCCTTGACGGAATGAAATAACATTCCTTGGCAAATGTCAATGTTTGCCTCTTTTGTCGCCCATTTATTTTCTCATCTAGTCAACACTTTAAGCGGGTAGAATTTTGCTGGTCTGAAAGGCGTGACATGCCCCTACTTTCCACGCGTTTCCTATTTTGACAAGACCAAGGTTAATCGGTGAAGTTTTATGTTTTACTAATCGTAATCCAATAAATCTGAATCTCTCTATAAATGCAAGCCATTTTTATCATACCAACAAAATATTGTGCATTTGTTTTGACGTTTGCGAAAAGAAATCATTCAAGCGTAAATTATAGTATATCATCAAATATAGATCAACAAATGCCCTACTCAATTTGTTGGTTTACGAATTAATGGGTAACTGCATTTTAAACGCCTGGCTTTCGTAAAAGAAAAACAACATGAGCTGCAGATAAATCTGGCAATTGCCCGATATTTTTCAAAGTCACATTGCACAAATAACTTGCACAATGGTGTTTCGATAAACAAATAAGTACTTGTCCAATGAAGACAACCTTCCTAATCAGTCTAACCAAGATTCGGTTCTGTGGAAGGTTACACCCGTCTTTATTTTCATCAGGCTCTTAGTTTTAAAAACGAGGTATCGATATCATCTGAAAAAATATTTCTCATGGAGGTACACAAAATGGCCATAAACAAAAAAACTGAAGTTTTCGCAAATTGGAGGGATACCACATACCCTTGTAACAAGCTGTTGGGTTTAACCTTCACCGACGGTCAGAAATTGAGATCAGTTTAAGAGTCTAAAAAAGTGAAACAGCATTTACCGGGGCGTCAGTCGAAGTTTAAACCATACAGACAGCAGACGCCGAGTGAGTTGCACAGGCTCGCATTACTTGAGCTCCGTGCGAGCAACTCTCCCAAAACCTGAATGTGTGCACGCGAACGAACAGGCGGTTGGATACGCACACACACAAGCGGTCTCAAGGCGGTGTCTTGCAAATCAGCTCCACGCTACCCACGCACTAAAGGTAAAAGGCACGTTAAGCAACCGGACCACCGTTTGGCAGTTTCGTTTTAGCCAGAACGGGTGCAGTCACGCACACACTCGCTTGTGGTCTCAGTAATTCAAGGAATTCCTACTAATGAATCCACGGCATTCAGTGAATCAAAACACCGTGAACGTTTAATAGTGGCGGCTTAAATGTTCAGGCCTACAAAATCCCTCACTAAACGTCGTTTTTCGCTTGCACAAAAGAGTATAACTGCAAGAATTCTGAGATTTAAGTTTAAATTGAAGAAATAGAAGGAGAGTAGTTAAATACATATGAAGAGCACGCGCTCACATTTCGTTACAACTGTCTGGGTGTGCATATTATATTACTAGTATGACTTATACACATTTATTGCGTAAATTTAAGTGGCAAGTGAGAGACTCGGTTTTGGAGCGGTTGCCTTTTGGTTCTATTCCAGCTAGTTGACCATATATTCGGTACAACAACTGTTTTGCTTGAATCTCCTAGATTTTATGGAAGGAAATCCTTATATAAATGAAATAAAATCAACGAAGTGGCCTGAAATGCCGAGCGTGCCAACCATAATACAAGCAGTCATACCTTTGAAAATGATGGGAAAATTCATAAATAGGAATAAAAAATATAGGTAAGTTTACAAACCTTGTTACTGAGAACCATTATGACCCCATATAATTGAGACTAATTCTAACTCGTTACTCAGATGTCGGTTTAACTAGTGAAGAGCTTTGTGTGCAGGCTCTTACATTTTAAAGATAGCGTTACGATGAATCTCCTGAAAATGAGTCCCTTTGAAGGATAATTGCTTGCATTTCTTCTTTAGTTCACCGTCTAAAATAAATTTTTATCTATTGATTTGTGGTTGAGTTTTTAAACAAGAACGGAAAAGAGGAGGCTGATATCATGAACTGTTGCGGCCCAGTATACACGATACTCAGGGGACAGATCAAACATTCATCCATTTGGGTTCTTGTACATTTTTATTAGCTATTTTACAGCCCTGGTCATTTGGCATCTACAGAATCGAAGGCCAAAGAAGAGAGAGCGAGAGGGTGCCGTGAATAGGTAACTATCGTTTTTTTATTCACCCACTAGACGTGATGTGTCATTGTGGATGTGTGTGGGCGTATTTACAAAGCTCTTGTTAATCTTAGTATTCATTGCTAACGGGGGTCAACGAAAAATAAGTGAGTCACAGGTGTCAAACACCTTAAGGTAAACTTTAGAGCAGGATTCTACGGACGTTTCCGCTTCCAGCCTTTTTACTATACGTTTATAGTTCTATACTTTGTGGACCCTTTACCATGCATAAACAAATGCCAACTTTCCATGTAATATTCCAAATGTTAGCATTCCACTGTTAAAAGCCGTAGTATTACAACTGTCGCGCTCCTTTCTTCAGTTCCATTAGTTAAACACGCATTGTGTGGCCTAATACTTCCAAGTTGCTCAATTTAACAACTCAACCAAGGTTCAAAGACCCTAATCTAGTGTATTTATTAAATGTGTCCATCGTTTTTAAACACCCATCTACATCTTTGATGATACATGTAGGGCCTTTCGAGCCACCCTTGTTGTGTTTGGCGCAAAAAGATACATCCTACCGGAAAGTTCTGCCTAAATGAGCTCCTTTCAATTCTTTTGAGGCTTGACTTGCTTGCTGATAAAAAGAAATTATTATCTCCACGACAGCAGCGCCACTTACTGTCAAAGTGAGCGTAAATTAGACTTTGGGTTTCAAGAGTATTCAAAAAATCCGTTAAATGAAAATTCAATTTCCATATAATCGTCCTGCTGTCTTTGGCAAAATCCGTAATTATTTTACCCAATCTTAGCATAAAAACCCTTAATATCACAATCTTATTTCAATTAACCCACACCACATATTATATATACTTTCCCCTATAGTCTTTGCTCTTAGTAGACAGGCACAGAAAACTATTTGTTGGAGTCTATTACGGGTCGGAATATGTGTAAAGTGGGTTGTTTTATTTGCGCCTTGTTGAATCATTGACATCGCTTTATAGATTTTGGGGAAGAAAATAATATTATTGCTATGATAGGTACAACCAAATCCAGAGGCTAATTTTGATGATAGGAAAGCCGTTTAAACTTTACATAAGGACCATGTTGGTTTCTTTATAAGAAAACCTCAAGAATAAAAATTGATGATGAAATATGCAAACTCTATACCAATGATCACTGGGAGTGAGGTCTAAAATATATTAAACGTTTAGGCAACATTTTTCCCACTGATTTTATGTAAAGCTGTCATCGGCAAATATCTGAACAGATACATACAAGTAATTCCTTATTAAATCTACGAGATGTGAATAATAGTCAGCTCCATTCGTCTTCGACTATAACATTGTTGAAAATTCACGCTCCTTATAAGTTTTTACGCTGTTGCAAATATCATGTAAATAGTACCAGAAATGAAAGACAGTGAATATGGAAGTGCAGTGAAACAAAGTATTAATTGCTAAAAAAGCTGGCGATTTAGATATTTACCCCTACAGTGCTGACAGTGTAGAATACTCGACCCAAATTAGAAGACCAATACAACAGGACAGGATAT